TGGGGGCTGTACATAAACTTCCAGTCCTCCGAATACGAGCTAATACCTGAGGTATAACACGTAAATTAAGTTATTTCTAGCAAAGACCAAAGTTTTCAGTCGTTAACATTTTGATGTGCTTAAATATGTATTCCCGTGTTGTTGAGAGATGTTGGAAAAGCTTATGTGTAAATTATCCCTTAAAATAAAATCTGGTTTCAATGTGTTACTTCCACGACATTAGCTCATCGATTTCAGATCATCCAAACACAATATATCAGGGGCCACTCTCGTTCATCAGTATCGTTTTGGATTAGGCAAGACATCTGTGATTTAAACTGTCGTGAACAAAATCTGATTCCCACGACCTGTTTTTTTTCATTCGGCAGATTTGACGCTGGAACAAACACCAACTTTCTTATTTCTGAACTCATAACGAACATGATACAGTTCCTGAAACAGATGACCGATAGTGGTTTTACATCATTAATATGCAGTCTCATTTAGATTTAGTATACACGTGTATATATTGTTGTATGTATTCTTTTTATTTATATAAAGAAAACACTGGTACATACGTACCTTCAACCTAGAAGAGGAATATGAGCAATCTCTCCATAAAGTTACACAGTGCTGTAAAAAGAATATGAGCAATCTCTCTTTAAAGTTGAGCAATGCTGGCCAAAAGTGATCGTATTTGCTACATTGACATCCGTTACTATCATATTCACATAGTCATACGATAACTGGTACTGATCACACTTGTGTCAAGAATACGCCTTTCCTATCACTTGGTGGGCGTTTTAGTTCTGTTAATTTATGAGTGTCTTGAATATCTCTTTACTTCTAACTACGTCTTCATTGTAGCATTGTTTGGAATAAACTGATTTCACCTAAAAACATGTTATTACTTTGGATTACAGTTTCAGCGACCTCACGAATAATCCTTAGAGCGATTTTTGTACATCGTGACTGCAGGGGAGGTGACTTTTGAGTTTAACACTGACGTATAGAAAGGTTACCTTATTACAAGACAAAGAAGTTCTTGTATTGGTCAGGTATTGTGATGTGGGAACCAATAAAGGCATCAACAAATAAATACAATTCATATAATAGACTAAACCTGGACACATGTTCGTATTTATTTACCTGTGATTGGAGTTTGTCTAAATTCATCTATAATTCTGTAGAATATAATCTGGCACTAAAACACGCACATTGGTATTCTGACAATATGGTCTTTCACATTCAAATTGACCAAAGAGCTTGTGTTCGACCATGACATTCATTTATAAAAAATAACAAAATTCCATCTTGTCTATATTTATAACAGGCCAGTATGATTATCATGTATCCTTTGATCTTTGGGATATCGGTAGAGTTAATGAACTGCTTGTACACATTGAATACAGTTGATTTACAGTGATATATATAACGTCAGCGCCAAAGAATAACCGGTCTCCATTATCCACCGAAACAGATTCCATTAAAAGGCAAAATAATTGTGAACTTTATATGACTGGATCACTGAAAATCAAAGATGACACCAGGCTTTCTCGAAAAGGGCAAGCATGTCTTGCACAGCCGGTTGCATCCGCCACTCACAAGTTACTATTCAAATACCAGTCCAAGGTTAATGTTTAGACAACTGATTCAATCATTGACCTACTTTATAATTACATATTTAATTGTATTTGATCGGTCTCTTTAGAAGGATTATCGTAGTTCTAAAATGAGTCAAAATGTATGGGGGAGGCGGTCGGGTAGCCTAGTGGTTAAAGCGTTCGCTCGTCACGCCGAAGACCCGGGTTCGATTCCCGACATGGGTACAATGTGTGAAGCCCATTTCTGGTGTCCCCCTGCCGTGATATTGCTGGAATATTGCTAAAAGCGGCGTAAAACCATACTCACTCACTCACTCAAAATGTATGGGGATTTGATAAAAGCGACATAACCCTTTCCATATTTATAAAAAAGCGACAAAGCGATTTCCACATTCATAAGAAAGCTCGAGTTGATTGTATGATTCCGACTATATCATGAGCATGTGTTTATGAATCACTATCAAATAGTGATGATACCCGATGTTCGAGAAAAGATAAGCATATCCTGCCCCACAGGTGGCACTCGTCGCAAACACATGCAAAGGCAAGTCAATTGTTCACCTAAAAACACGGTAACATAATGGTACAAATCAGAATAGGGAACTGCATCGGACATCATTTTGACACTTATGCGGCCTGAATGTTGCAACCTTGGTAAAAAAACATCTGAGCAAGATTTGTTTGACGCTCTTTGAAGGAGGACATGCATGCTTGATTGTGAAATGCAGACACCAGGGGCTGGAACTGCAGGAATATTGCTAAAAGCAGATTCGATTGTACGATTTCAACTATATCATGAGTATGTGTTTATGAATCCCTTTTATTCACTGATGAAATGTCCCCAACATGTCTACCATAAAACGTTCTGAAACCTTTACTGTGGCCTTGAAAGTTGAAACCTTGATTGAACAACTTCTCAGCGAGAGTTATATGGTGCTCTTTGAAATCTTGGTGGAAAGAGCATGCTTAATTTTGCCTAAATCGAAGTTAAATGTGAAGGGAAAGTTGACTACTAGTAAGTTGAAAACATCCCTTTTGTCTTGTATGGAGTGAATTTTTATGCTTCGATATAAAGATGAAAAAGACGAGGCGGTCTCACTGGTCTCCTTTATTTCTAGTTCAGGTGGGTAAATCAGTTTGAGGGAAACTTGATTGTTGATGGTTATAGATCGATATCAGATCATTGCTTTACCCGAAGTTTAAGTTCTTCCTAGGCTCGTCTTTGCCACAATGCCTTGTTTTGACTTTGCCTATCGGAGCAGAAATAACGATGTATAATATGCATAAAGAAACAGATGCACAAGGAGGGGAGCACAATCGTTGCCAGCGGTGCCCATTGGTTCCAAGTGTCGTACTTAACATTTGTCACGGAGCTGTGCTCCAATGATCAGGGATGTCATTAAACACGAATAAAGTAATACTGAAAACGTGGTAAGAGGTTCACAGGGTTATTAATAACATCTAATTGTACCATAGATGACAATAAAAGCATCCAATAAACCCAGTCTTCGCTGACAAAGATCACTGATTAATTAAATCAGAGCAAATACAAAAGCGGCTTAGCTAAGCAACTGTATTACAGTAATTAAATCAAGACACAAGATTCTGAGATAAGTATGAATATAATGCGATCGGACCTCAGAGAAGACAATCTCTCCTGGATAGCCGGGGAATACAATAGTCTGAGGCACCTAGCCAAGGTGTTTCTAAACATTGGGAAAACACGTTTACAGGCATACTGAATATGTAAGCATCCAACTATGCTACCCAATGGTATCATTATAGATTTGTTTATAAGCTTTGTAATTTTATTGAGGAGGCAAAAATGATCACAAATACATGAGAAATATCTTAGTGTACATATAAATTCCCCTAGTGTTTGAAAATCATAGGTACAAAAACATTTCCAACACATTAAAAAGGTAGCGAACATATGGGGAATAACAAACAATCAAGTCAATACATGGTATGAGTGTGCCAATAAGTCACAAGAGAATGAAATAGTCGGGCCACAAAGTCTCTAACTTAGAATGCATAGACACAGTATAACGATGACCGCCGGACTTTGCCGAGCGGTGACGGAAATAAAGCCGGGGAGCAGAGCGGTCACGGCAACCGTGACAAGGGTGGAGTTTCACTCACGTTGACAACATTATATTTTAGAACAGTCTGTGATTGTCACTGTCAAGTTACTGACAAATGTTGAATTTGAAACAGGCCGATTTTGATGGTGGTCAAACCTATGAACAGTTACCTGTCTCGTTATCACGTTTGATTTATGTTCAATAACCGATAATATATTTATTACAAGTTTCTGAAAACAAGCCCCACTTCAGTTTTAATAATGTCATGTGACCTGTGACCTTTTTCATATTGACCAATTTGGCAGACAGTTGACCTTGAACTGTCGTTTTAAGTGTCCATGATGGTTTATTTAAGTCTTAGCTTAGGTAGAGCAATATTCAAAGCTTATACCTTTTCAAATGCCCACCACCAGGGACTTGTATGCACAGTATGAAACAATACCTTTCTTCACATGAAAGTAAAAATATCTGTTTACAATGGGCATGTGTAAAATTCACCAAATCTAGAAGACACTAGATATACAGTCCCATCAATAATACATTAATACGCGACGGCGAGACAACATTTGATGGACGGTTTCACTCATGTACATGTTACAGGTACTGAGTGAGTGAGTGAGTTAGATTTGAACGCCAAGTTGAACAGTATTTCTGTTATATCACGGTGTGTCAAAGTGCTTCAACAGTGACGGTATACAATGCATTTTCCGTACCTAGACTGCAGTACTAGTTTTCAGCCAGAAGAGCCAGTCACTTTTCACATGCCAAAGTTACGTTCGAAAGTTTCTGTGTCGTTTAAAGGAGAACAATTTTTCGAAATCTTGTCCTAAAAACGAACGAAATGTTGATCGAATTGTTACGGTGAGGTCTTTACATGAAGCTGCGGTAACCGCAACGAAATCAAAATCTGATCGCACTCACTCTATCGATCACTGCTTCAACCGCTTTCAGTCTGCTATGCTACTTTTGTGTTCTTACTGATTAGGACGTAAACTCTCTCATTAACCTAATTTAGCACAACTAACGTGAATCTGTGGAGCGAAGCTACACAGTCGTATAAGGCGCATTCATTAGCTGTTCAAAGTTGCGTCTCTTTGGCATTCCAGAAGCTTGTGGTCGTGGGTTCGAATCCCAAATTCTCAGGATAATGTTTCCATTAATGTTAGCAACATAGCCGTGCTCGTGGGTTTCCCCAAGGTGGTAAACGTCTGTGAAAGGACTTCGCGAATTCCTCCCACAACAGGAATACACGCCATGATAAAAATACGATATTGTTCAAAGCGGCGTCAAACAAACCTGATAATTCATTCAGTGCCTCTGTATTTGTCCTCAGGTTGTCGAGGGCCAGCCCCAGTTGGAGATGTGGAAAGTGTGGACTCTGTGTATTGTGCTTGTGTGCGGGTTTGTGGGAACACAGGCTGAGAAAGAAACACACGGTGAATCTGTGAAGGTGAGAAAATGATTGCAATGAATTGAAATAGGAAGAAAGTTAGAACAAGACATCAAGGATAATGTTTTAACATATAAAGGCAAAAGGCTTTCAACTATCAATTTTAGCTTGGTTATTAGCCTGTCAAACTCGTTTTTAAATCCAGCATACCAGCTATTTATTAGTATAACCTCAAAAGCAGCATGAACGTATATGTCGTTTGTACAAATTCAAGGCTTTCCAAAATATTTTGGTCATTTTCGTGGCTTTTCAAGATTGACGCGATAAATCAATGCTTTTCAAGAGCGACCTTAGAATTCAAGGCCTTTTCAAGACTTAATGAACCTTGACTGATTTCATTCCGTTAGAATAGGTCTTCACCAACCAATGCTTGTCGTAAGAGGCGACTAACGGGATCGGATGGTCAGACTCGCTGATTTGGTTTATGCATGTCATCGTATCCCAATTGTGTGGATCGATGCTCATGATCACTGGATTGTCTGGTCCATACTCGATTATTTGTTTGTTTGTTTGTTTGTTTGCTGTTTAACGCCACACTCAGCAATATTCCCGCTTTATGACGGCGGTCTGTAAATAATCGAGTCTGGACCAGACAATCCAGTGATTGACATCACGAGCAGCGATCCACGCGATTGGGATACGATGACATGCATCAAGCAAGTCAGCGAGCCTGACCACCCGATCCCGTTGGTCGCCTCTTACGACAAGCATAGTCGCCTTTTACAGCAAGCATGGGTTGTTGAAGACCTATTCTAACCCGGATCTTCACGGGTATAACAGACCGCCGTCATATAGCTGGAATATTGCTAATCGCGGCGATTAACAACAAACACACAAACAAACAAATCAATCATTCGGCGTAAAAGGTAAAATAGTGGTTTAAATACACCAGGTGTTCCCGTAAAGGATAAGCATGTTCGTCTCTACCTGTAGCACCGTCACTCGCACACTTTGCATAAAACAATAAGTGTTTGTTTGTTTGTTGCTTAACACCGCACAAGAGTGCATTTGCAATACGATGGCCACTTAAACACAGTATACTACAAATATTATATTGCCATATAAATTCATAATAAACACATTTTATCGTAAATACTATACTGCCATTTAAACACGTATTTTGCAGTGATATGCTTTGAGACATTACGTGAAGATTTATTAAGATGTTATAAAGATATCCCATAAAGATATACCATAAAGATGTTATAAAGATATACCATAAAGATATACCATAACGATGTTATAAAGATATAGTCGGAATCGTAAAATGGACATGAAGCATATTTATATTAATCATTATGGGAATGGTTTTGTCGATTGAGTTAGAGGTACTGTCCGCACTGCCTTGAACATTCAGGGCAGTCATATTCAATGTTAAATAGAGAGTATACCGCATCCTTCATGAAATATATAAATCCTGTAAACATATACCCGATGTGAACACATGAACATTTCAATCGTAAACGCCAGAAAATAAGTGTTCGCGTAAAGGGCACGCATGTCCTGCTCTACCGGTAGCACCATTCACACAATTTGCATAAAAAAGTATGCGTTTGTTGCCAGATGCAATGATTCCTTCAGTCAGTGAGTTCAAATTCGAACAACACTTTATTTCCTGTGTATATTTAAGGTGTATATCGTGAACATTGAAGACGTGGACATACTGGATATCAAATAGTCGCAGTAAAACACTTTCAAACACCCATCAGGCGAGTAACCAACGGATATTTGTTACAAACAAGCTTTATGGAGATCAGAATTAATTATGTAATGTTGAATTACGTCTTTTGTGTACAAGTGCAGCGAAACACTTACGAAATCTGTTCGTTTTGCAACACAGTGTCAAAGAAAGACCTCGGGTGTCCAAATCGTAGATTATAATTTCTTTAACGAAATAGCTCGACATGAATAAATAGCAATTTGGCTAGTTAAAAGCCAGTATTTAATAGTCTAGATTGTCTCACTTACCAACATCAGGTCAGGACTTTGTCACATCAACGACCTTTCGGCAGTGTCATTTTCGACACGACTTCATATTGAGTGAAGATCAGAGGTAGAATAGGTCTTCAGCAACACATGCTTACCGTAAAAGGCGACTATGCATGTCGTAAGAGGCGACAAACGGGATCCGGTGGTCAGGTTCGCTGACTTGGTTGAAGCATGTCATCGTATCCTAATTGCGTGGATCGATGATCATGTCAGTCACTGCATTGTCTGGTCTAGGCGCGATTATTTACAGACCGCCGTCACATGGCTGAAATATTGCTGAGTGCGGCGTTAAACAACAAACAAAAACCAAATCATTTTGAGTTCACGGGAACACGAGTAGTTTGGGCTATGAATTCAAGAGATACCTTTATCGCAACCTTAGAGCTATTGACGGGCGTTATCGAACTGTGTACATAGAAACTAAAGAATACTAAAAGTTAGAAAAGAGCATAATTTATTCTGTAGATCACTCAACAAGATGATAATCAAAACGTTGTAGAATTATTATCTCCGCTTGTTAAAAGCCGAATTAAAGACAAACTGCGCGCAAGGCATTACGTTTGTGTGACCTTCACGCCGCCCACTTGATAACGTATTTAAACATTTGTGGTTGCAATCATGTCCTTATTTCATAACTCAACGCCATAACACTATGAAACTGCAATTAGCTTTTGAAGCAATTTATCGTGTTAACCTTTCATACGCTCAACCAGGGATACGTAGGTGGCTGCTAACGTCCGATTCATTACTCTGTCAATACCAAGTAATAAGGAAAGTAGTAAACGTTCTATCTGCTACTGCTTTAAACGCGAACATTTCTTTATTAATGGGTTCAGCGATATGCAATACCATTATTACACTTTGGGGAACAGTTTGAGTAGGTTTTTACCTGTTGATGTTTTTTTAATGAGTTTTCTGATTTGACTGGTTGATTCAGCATTGGTATTTCAAAAGCGAACGGAACTTCAACACTATTAGTTTACGTCATCAATTGTTAACGTCAAGAATTTGCGTCATGACACCTCTTTGACAACAGAAATTGTAGAATTTTACCTCTGAATAACATGTTATAAATAAATTACAATCATTGCACTAAGGTAGACACCGATAAGATTGATCTGAATAATATGATTAATTCAATCCTACAAATTCAACGGACGGTCGGGTAGCTTAGTGGTTAAAACGTTCGCTCGTCACGCCGAAGACCCGGATTGGCTTCCCGACATGGGTACAATGTGTGCAGCCCATTTCTGGTGTCCCCGCCGTGATGTTGGAATATTGCTAAAAGCGGCGTAAAACCATACTCAGTCACTCAATCACTCACTACAAATTCAACACGTTTGTCTTGAGAGGTAATTTGAAATAAAATTTATCCTACAATGGTGATACTTTTGCTGTAGAAATGAATCCATTGATCATGTCACATATGCATCTTAAAACAGACCTGGAAATTAAATAACCTATCCTGACAGTACAATTCCATCACATTTTCAGCACAAAGGTAAGATCAACTTTACAGAAGGCAGCAGCTTAACGTCAAATCCTTCCCCAACCCATAACACTCAGGAGGACCCCGATGCCTTTATGGACTCTCTGCTAGGGTACAGGATACCCTTGAGCACGGATGATAATGAACTAAAGAAACGTGGCAGGCATTTTGGGTTCGTCGGGAGTAGAGGACGACGCGGGAAGACGTCTGTAAATTCCTTTTCCGAGGACCTATTCCCTAAGCGACGACCGATGAGCAACAGTGCACGTCTCCGGATGCTCCTTGAGAACCGAGACCAAGGTAATGTCCCTGAAACGCAATGTCAGTGTTCTTTAGTCAGCCAGCCTTGAAATTCACGAGTAAATTCGGAAATAAGAAAGATCTTGATTGATGATAGCAATTCTCAAGGGTAAAGTGTACTGACAACTACTGGTCTAACGGTATTGTTTTGTTGCCTTGAGCTTACTTGATGTATGGCATAAAGAAAGCATTGTTAAAGCTGTTATTGAGAAAGTGGAACCCTTAAGCTTTTGTTCAAGACATTCATTTGAAAATTAATTTCCCTTTACGTGGCCAAATGTCTTCCCACTTTTGTAGTCTCCCCACTTTAAGGCTTGGTGGTTTTCTTTGGTGTGCGTAATTGCTCCTGCTTTGTAATGCGAAAGCAAGACAGTTCTCATTTACATGGCAACTCCTGGCTATTTGTCTACGTCAAAGACATTACAAAGTGTTATATCAACTAGATGAATAGTGTCAATTAATTGTTAAACACGTATAATTAGGACGTCACAATCTACAGCTCGAAATACTATGCTGCTCCTATATATAGTTTTGGTTCGAATGTTCCGTCATTATTTAAAACTTCGCGTCGGACGGTAATAACAGAAATGATTCTTGTTTACCTCCAAACCGAGAATAGAATCGCAAGACATCAAACAATCTGCATGGCTTTGCATCGCTTGGTAGTCTTAACGTTGTGGTAGTGTGTCTCTAGCACCATTTGCTACATCATGGCTTAATCTAAAGAGAATATCTGTCTGTTTTTGTCAAATAACATGTTTATCTCCTCGAGTGACCTCCAATGTTGATATATTCATGAGTGGCACAGCTACGAGTGAAAATGTCAATTTTGCAGGTCAAGAGATGTGTTTGACAAGGAAACTCAAATTATCTGTTTAATATGTATTTTCCAGATGTTCGTAATTTACATTAAAATCAGAATGTCATTGAGGGTGAACTGCAAATTGTTCCAACAAAAAGTGTTGTTATTAGAGAAGCATCATATTTAGAGATTAATTACACTGTGTTTCATCAATAAATCCATAATAAACAGAGATATTCTTGTAATCCACGCCACGACATGTATTTCGTGTAATTTCATGCTCTGGTATAAGGTTTTCATTGAGTTGGGTTTAATTTATATCATCGGGCGTAAATCAAGAACATGTCAATAAAGAATACCATGGTTAACTTCGATACGGTGAAACCTCGTTCACTCGGGAGATTAACGTTTGGAACGTCTTCGGAAACATATGTATTACTGAACAGTTCTACACACCCAACCCGGGGATTCCGGGTTTGAATCCTGGTCCTATCGTAAGAGTCGATTAATGGATTGGGTGGTCAGGCTCGGTGACTCGGTTGATGGCGTGTCCAAAGTACCCCGACGGCGTAGATAGGTCCACTGGCTTGTCTGGTCCAGAGTCAATTATTTACAGGCCGCCGTAATAATAACTGTGATATTGATCAGTGCGGCGTTAAACAACGAACATACAGGCACGCACGCACGCACGCGAGCACGCACACACCCGCGTCCCAAATTGAAATGAAATTACTATATTCGACATCTACATATAATATATATTTTTCTTCACATTCTTTTTCAAAATACAGTTTGGTTCACATTTCTAAAAACCTAATCGAAACTCGGATTAGAAATAAACGACGAATAGGAGTTGTTTATCGTTTAATAAAACACTGCAGGGAGACTAAACCAGAGGGGGGGGGGGGGGGGGGGGGGGGGTGGTGGTGCCTGAGTGGTTTATTCTCTACTCCGTATTTTAATAGTGACGACTACCTGAATAGAATCAGACCTCGGCAATGTCGGACAAGTCCATTTCATGCACAGGTGGGTATTTCCCGCATATTCGCAAAATTCTCACGTCGATTACCTGTATCTTTTCACAATGATGATTGTCATATATCTCCCGCTTTTGAATGCGATCGTTGGACCATCGCGCTTATCTGCGTTGTCCAGCTACATCTATGGGGAACAACTCACTAGACACTCGTCGTCAAATGTCGTCCAATATAAGACGTCATCAAGAGGCGCGCGCATGTTCGAGTCTCCAGGAATGACGCCATGATAGGGCAATGTTTTATTGTGAAGTAAACCACACTTCGTTCTTCGTTGTTCTTTGCGATTTATCGCGTAGCTATCTTATATTTGTCCATCCAAAATACAAGAGCAGATGATCCGTTGTTCTAAACTAAAGTGTTTTCCTTTAGTCCATTGGGACAGCGGAATGATTAAAGCGTTCTCTCGTCACGCCAAAGACTCGGTTTTGATTCCCCACATTGATACAATGTGTGAAGCCCATTTTTGGTGTCCCCAGCAGTGATGTTACTGATATATTGGAAACACTGGGGTAAAGCCATACTTACTTACTCTTTAGAAAATTTACAGACCGAAGTGATATAGTTGGAGTATTCTTGACTGAAGCGAAAAACAAACAAACAAACACACAAACAGAAGCTAACAAAATTGTCGAATCACACGTGTAACCTAAATACTAGTATTCCCTACAATATTACAATGGGCACTGGAAAGACCACCCGGACTTTTACTTTTGGAATCAGTGGCCACATGGTCTTGCCATAGTGTTGAATGCATCACGAAAGCAAAATAATGCATGTAACGTTTTTCGTTGGGTGTTGTAAATCGAAATCGTATTGACTGTACAATTTAAATCACAAGTTGTATTAACTTCCAATCAAATATTAAAGCGATCAATTGTAAGGATCAGCAAACATGTTTTATGTACATTTGCACATGTTGACACGATTTCATGGCAATTTCCCAACAAATTTTATTACTTAATTTGCGCATATTTAACAGACCGGAGCTATATTTCCCTCACAAACAGCAAACTTTACTCAGTACAGCATCAAACGCGATTTTCCAGGGGATAATGTTTTATATAAGGTTGTTAGATGATTCTACCCAGAGATAACTCAAAACCTAAACGCCTTAATGCCCTGCCATGGCAACGACTTTAGATCGCCTTAAGTTTCTGAACGGAGACAAATTTGGATCTCCGATGAAAAAAAAACAATTTAAAAATATCACGATTTACAAATTGGCCTTCGATCGCTATGTTGACAGACGATTAAAGCAAATTGTGAATATGAAAACAACCTCGATTAGAATATGCTTCTTGAAAAGAGGGGATCGATTGTGTTTCTTTGTTTTAAGACATGCCAGATTCAATTCGTTTCATGTCATGCAATTTACCAATAATTATAGTTTTCGTTTTTTTGTCATATTGTTAAAGCTTTATTTAGCAAGCTGCATTGGTATGCATAACAGGTTGCGAAATACATCGAGAATAATGCAATGTGTATTTAAAATGTATTGAAAGATGTGCTAAACAAATCCTTAATACGTGGTGGCCCGAAAATATAGTTTTTTAAATCAATATTTTGTTTTTCCTTGCAATAAACAGTTGTTGAAAGTATTCATTAGTGAACTAAAACTCAACTAAATAGGCAGAAACATGAGATAGTTTTTGAAACACAAAGTGTCCAGTTTCATTGAATATAAATGTCACCACTGAACCCCCGATTTTATTACACCAAATACATGTTGTTAAGTATGTACCTTCACAATGTAAAACGCAATACAATAAAATATCGTGTTCTCACATAAAAGTTGAATAGGTATACACTTGTTATAACATGTAGTATATTAACGACGTTGACGTCCTTTTCAGGGTTGTTTGCCAAGGAGAAACGAAAGCCTCACTTTGGGTTCCATGGCTCCAGAGGTTAAGGTAAAAAACCTACCATTACCTTTGAATAGTTATCCAGCCTGGCAGTGTGCATGTTGCTGGTTATACATGTCAAGTTAATGTATAATGATATATGTGATGAACAGCCTGAATGTTTGGGAGATGGGGGATTGAGGGTGGACCACTTGTGTATTAAGGTGTAATGAGCAGTGGTGTGGCAGAAACCTGATGGTGGGTTCGAATCCCGGATCGCCCTGATTATGTTTCTTAGTTTGTCCATGTTAGTGGGCTTATCCAAATTTGTAAACGTCTAGGGCCTTCATCAAGCTGACACACCGTAATATAACTGGAATACAATTCAAAGCAGCATCAAACCCAACGATCTCTGACCTATGTCTGTTATGGTAAGATGTATACAATGTGTATAGACCTGATCCGCGTTCCACAAAGCTATCTCAGCGCTAAGGTGATCGTAACTCCCACACTTTAACATAGGCTTACGATAGTCGTAGCGCTAAGATCGCTTTGTGACCCGAGAAGATCCGGGGTAGAATAGGTCTTCAGCAACCCATGCTTGCCGTAAAAGGCGACTATGCTTTTCACAAGAGGCGACTACGGGATCGGGTGTTCAGGCTCGCTGACTTGGTTGATGCATGTCATCGTATCCCAATTGCGTGGACCTATGCTTATGTTGTCAATTACTTGATTGTCTGGTTCAGACTCGATTATTTACAGTCCGCCGTCATATAGCTATAATATTGCTGAGTACGGCGTCAAACAACAAACAAACAAACTAGATCGCTTTGTACAACGGGGTTCCGGCAAGTATGTAGATTAAAATGATGAGTGATAATCATGATCTGTTTATCCTTCAGGGGCTGACCGCGAATGAATGGAGGGAACCAACTGGAATGAGTTTGGAGAAAACAACCTTGAAGGCATTCTTGTAAACTACTCTATGCACCCACGTATCTGCTTGAGAACACCGCATCTTTATACGACATCCCTGTCTCCACGTGGTGACACGGCACACCATCGCTGTAGACACGACACAGTTAATGTTAACAAGTACAAGAAGTCTGTTCTCACGCCATTCGTCGTTGCTACAAAAGCGATAGATGTTTATTGTTAACCTTTGGGTATCCATGAACTTTTACAATAAAATGTTTCTTTATTAACTATCATATACATTTCTCTCATCAAGAATTCAATCAGTGTTTGGTCTTCCAGACATGTGAAAAGAAACTTTTAACTGCAATGGATCAAGAAATTAAAGGTATACACAGAGTGGCAAATATATTTACTTTTACAAAATAAGTGAGGGGTCACATGGAGTACTTGTCAAAGAAGTTGAAATTATATACACAACATGCTGACACTATAACAAGCCGCTAAGAACGCTCGATCCGTTTTAATGACTGTCGATGATATAATTCCTATAGTGTATCACCACATACTTATATTATAGTCGGAATCGTACAATGCGTCTGCTTTGAGCAGATAGTTCTCATTACTATGGAAAGGGTTGTGTTGCTTTTATATTCAATTAATACTGTTTTCCCAAACTTATCTTAATTTCAAATCGCAAACAAGAAGCGATGACACCATTTAGAACACAGAGGCATCGTTTGGGGTATGTTACACTTCAAAGTTTGAGATAACGGGAATTGGCAGTATCTTTTAAAGTGGTATAGAAAAGGTTACATATCATCTAAGGTGTGTGGTTAAAAAGTTTTTGTCCTTAAGATTCAGCCAAAATGAACACTTTGTAACGGTAGTTTTGTATAGCCACAACTCGGAAACCATTATGGTTTTTGTACGATTTCCATTATTTGTCGCGTCATTTCCCACATTGTCACGATATATTTGAAACATTTCAACTCACTCAATAAATAAATAGCACTGTTTTCTTTTCGCCGTCATTCTTTGAATTGAACAGTTGATGATAAGTAATCAATTCGTTATTGTCTATAGAGTAGAACATTTCGTCTTTGGGACATTAAGCCTGGTTATTTCATAAAAAATATGTACCATGAATTTTAAGTATTCCGCAATGTGGAGGTTAGTGCCCTCGGATGGAAAATGGAAGTCTTCGAGGCAATGTTAGAATATCATCTGGTTTGGTTCAAAGACTCAACGGTGTACGACATTGATCTGAATTCACAGAATAAAGCATGGCTTGATGGACGTTCTTTGAGTTTTCATTTATCGTAAGTTGTAATTGTGACATTCAACCACGTGACATGTATTGCTGAGTTGCCACGTGAAGACCGACTTACGTGTTGCAACCATTTAAATACACAAGCATTATTACTACATTGTACAAAATAACATAAAGTCAACAATAGATGAAACAAACGTGTGTGTGCGCGCGAGATTCTTCCTGTCTAGTTTTGTCCAGTCTGGACCAGACAATCCAGTGATAGGTATTACGAGCAACTATCCAGCTGACGTTGACGCCCCTCCAACCAAATCGCCTAGTCTGACCACGCCATCCATTAATCGCTTCTTTCGACCAGCATACATGTCGGTTGCTAGGGTGTGTGTGTGTGTGTGATTTTCAGTGACCAACTCATACAATTTTTACCACTGTCTTTTACGTCCAAGCAAGGGTTGACACTCGGACATGAGCCAAATTTAACCAATTAAGGTTTTCGGCCTGATAAAATTTATTGGCACCGATATCAGCTTTGGGAATTTAGAACTTCCTAAACCAAACTGATTTTTCTAATACAGCCGATGGTGGAATGTTGGAACTTTTCTCTCATGTAACTCAATGCACATGCCTCTACAAATTCAAGGCATATTTTCAATGATTTCCTTAAACATGATACATGTCGTCATTACTCCACGAGCACATCGAGAGTGATTGAGTTGGGTTTAACGCCGCTTTTAACAGTATTACAGTTATATCGCGGCGTGTCAGCTTAATGTGAGAGGAAAGCCCGACGTGATGCAGGTCTCAGGCGTTTACCACTTTGGTGAAACCCACGAGCACGGGTATGGTGCTGACAAACCTAGAAACATAATCTTAAATAGACAAAATACAGTGACAACAATTATTTCTCTCCGCTCTTATTCATGATACAGTTGGTTCAAATGGATTGGTAGATTTAGTTTCACACTCTTCCAACTCCTTTTAACATTGAAATGGAATATCCCACTATATCATGAGTAAGGTGATCATTTAAGTTAATTGTCATTGCAAGATACTGATGATATCAAGTGACTGAACATCTTGCGGTATTCCAGCAAATTGTAAGCCCAAACTGACACGGTTTGAAGACAGTTGCCACTTTTGGTGAAATCAACAAGCACGGGTATGTGTTATAGACCGATGGTCATAATCAGGTCGAATATCATATTCGAATCCATGGCAGTCAGATCCTGGTGTGACCGAGGGACACTACTCTGTACGGTTCGCCCTCGTCTTTGGAAGGAAAGGATTTAGTGATAAAGCGAGAATATAAAATAGCTGGAGAGTCCTTATAGGCTTTAGAAATTGGAAGTTTGGTTTGGTTGGTTTGTTGTTCAACGCCGCACTCGGTAGTTCCAGCTATATGACGGCGGTCTGTAAATAATCGAGTCTGGACCAGACAATCCAGTGATTGATATAATGAGCATCGGTCCACGCAATTGGGATAAGATGACATGCATCAACCAAGTCAGCGAGCCTGACTACCCGATCCCGTTAGTCGCCTTTTACGGCAAGCATGGGTTGCTGAAGACCTATCCTACCCCGGATCTCCACGGGTAAGAAGTTGGAAGTAATCATATCAAGGAGTATCATGGATACTATGATAGTTTCTTTTTTATACAAACACAACGTTTCAAGGCTACTTCTTGCTCCTTCATAGTTTTTGTCAATATATGTGAATAAAGAATAAAGAATCATTCATTTGAAAGATGAATGATTCGAAGTGACACATGCCTTAGATATTTACTACTTCAGTGAAACACACGAGCACGGGTATTTTGCTGACAAAGCAAAAAACATAATGATGGTGTATCGTGGATTCGAACATACGATCATAGGTTTCTGACACACCTATGCGACTCAACCCTATATGAGGACAACGACAAACCTAACGCTTGATTAGATCTTGACTATTATAGTTCAGAAAAGGTTTGATGATTGACAAGCCTTCATCCAGGCCTTGGATCAGAAAGACATAATTATTTGTTCAATAAAATATGGAGATACAAACTCCGTTATGTATGATAATAAGTTAAAGAAACTATATTACTATTCATTTGTTAATCTGCCATGGCACAAGCATTTCAAGGATTAGACACAAGATCCTCTGGACCTAACCTAAGTAATTATTTCTCTGGGACAGGCCCGTCCGGTTAAACGTCTTTTCCTGTACATGGTGATCAAACTACATTGCTACGGTGATTTGTAGACGTTTATCCACGATGTTCTAAGAACGCCGTAAGACACAAACTTGTTAAATAGAGTCCAATGTATAAAGTCAAGTATATGGCTTATGTAGAGGTTAATTGCGTTCTAAAACAGTTCATTCTTTCATAATGACTGACGAATCTGTCTTGTATTGTTCTGCTTACGTGTTGCCTAATGTGCTGGTTTGTTAACTGACAACTACAACTTCATTTCATTACTACTATCACCAGTACATTGATATTTCAACATTACTATAGCTGTGCCATATCTCTGACAATGTGCTGCAATGCCCGAATTTTTAATTAAATTTGACACTTCGCTGGCGAAAATGTAATTCCACTCACAATTACTTCTATATACACATTAACTGACATTACTTTTCCACATTATAAAATTTCACAGAGTATATTTCCCTTCTTAGTCAATGTTATGGCATTCATATCACAGAAAATGAGACCGTCTAACTATAACATTTCATATGTTCATTTACATTAAATCGAATTTCTAAAGTACTCCCCAAATTACCTTAATAAAATTGTTATATATGATAAGTTGCATGCGATGTATGGAGTTGGTATTGTATGTAAGGGGCTAGAGTAGTCACCTAACCCAACATGGCGACGTCCTTGGATTCGTCGCGATATATCATTCATTCCAGAGTAAGTATTCGAAACTTGGTAAGGTGATGACGTATGGTATTCAAAACTTGGTAAGTTGATGACATATGAGTGTAATTGCGGTTGAGGCGACAGTTGTCCTTTGGCGATGATGTAGTAAAGACCGTTTTGATTGATACGAAGTTGATGTCAACAAGTGAGCATAATGCCAGGCGGAGATACAACAAAATTATCTTAATATTCCGGAAAACTATATCGATTTAGTGGTTCTAAGCAAGTGGAGTGGCTGATATTAGGTGATAGTGGATTAAGTGAGGTATGGTATTTACTGGTTCATGTGATGTAAAAAAATTGCATTTTCTCGTGAACTTTTACATTGCAATTACGATTTCAAAATGTGTTGTTCAAGATTTTGTCAAATAGATTAAAATGTATGAACTCAATATAGGGCACGGATAGGAAACAGTATCGACCTACTTCAAAGTTATCAGATGTTTCAAACGTCATCGCGACATTGACATCTTTAACAATTTCTGATGACCAGACGTAATCCTGAAACATCGTTGCGAAATAACGATGTTGTCATCCCTTCACATCTAAATGCCAAATTGAAAATTTCAGCTGTCTGTCAGTCGAAGTAGTCATTATATCTGTCTCTGTCTTATGGTGCGAAGAAAAGTATCACATTAAATAATCAAAGGTCTTTTTTTAAAGTATTTTTTTAGGTATTTCAAGAAAAGAAAAGCATTAATAAGGCATACAACCCCTATGTCAAGATTATACCCTAATGGTATTATTTTGAGTAGCTTAACAACATGTTACAAAAATAGTGTGCATTTTAACTCTAAACTAATGTCTTCGAATACATACTGACGTGAGTCAGTGTTAAGGTTTTGGGCTTTTGAGTGGGCAGTCAGTGAATTGGGTTTAACGCCGCCTTGCACAGCATTTCATTTGTATCACGACTTAATACGGGAGGAACGACGGATGTGATGCAGTTCTTGGACGTTTACCACTTTGGTGAAACCCACGAGCACGGGAATGGTACTGAAAAAAACCCAGTCACAGTCATAGGTTCCTGGCGTACCCAAGGGTCACAACTCTGCACAGCGAATTGTTGCACCTTATGTTTCAGTTGGGACATCGTGGTTGTTCAGAGAAGACTGTAGGTCTCCAGGATCCGTCGTCACAAAATATGCATAAATGAAGTATGATCTTGCCGTTTGTGAATCATTCTAAACTGATGAAGTGGGTTGTTAAAGTGAGGCTATGTTTCTTGGCCTGGAGCATATCTTCTGCCTAAGTCGAGATATTGTTCTTTATTAAAAGCAACAAGACCCTTTCGATAGTTATAAAAACAATATCTGTTTAAAAGTCTATTGTACGATTCCGACTATATCACGAGCATCTGTTTATAAATTACTTTAAAATAGTGATATAAACAAATATCACAAATAAATATGGTTATTAGCAGCACAATGTCGTGGAATATGGAAACAGTTTTGTCTTTTTTTTTAATTCATACTTGCCATTTCTTCAAGCCTAGTATTCCTACGATATTTTAACGCTTCTGTAGAAAAGGGCAGTGGGGCAGCTTAATGGATAAATGTTTGATCGTCACTCCGTAGACTCGAGTTCCATCCCTTCTTCATCCCTTACCCCGACCACAGCCTCCCACCCCACCGCCGTGATATAACTGGAATATTGCCCAAAGCAGTGTAGCGTCTAGTTCATAGGTAAGGCGTCTGTGTTGCTCATCAATGTGTACAGCATCCTACAGAAGCAATGTGTCAAACAAAGGTTTTCACAATTAACATTACTTTCACAAAATACTTTGGTTTCTCGTTGTAAAGGAATAACACACTACTATATTATATAAAAAAAAATCATTTTCATTTACAACACATCGTACATCATGCAAAGAAAATGCAAAGATAGTGATGTATGGTATTCATCAGCCTTTACCCTCTAAAGAGATGAATGAAGACCTGACTTTCTTCATCACATGCTAAAGGACAAGGTGTTATAATGATAAGGATCCTCTGTGGCCCATGGGATATGGGTAATTTTATAAACGAGGTAAACCTGTACAAATAATCTGAAAATAATCACATGTATTCAAATGTACGAGAATTTGACCATGTTCATTTCAATAATAGCCTGTT